TAGTTAATATAAAGAAATAAATGTGCGCTCATGTGCAGACGTATATATATAGTTTGTTAATTGGATAATTCATATCCTGCAAGACTCCTAAAGATGCCTGGAGACGATCGGGTCACACAGTTGGAGGGACAATGGTCGTTCTGAATTATCAATAGATGTATTCATTTTTAAGTGAGCTGACTTCGAGGTTGGAGGAAGTTCAGAGAAGGCCTTAGGGTATGGGAACAGTTAACCTTTGTAAGTTAACTAATCCTAAGAATGTCATGAGACGCTGACGTTGAAACATATAAAAGTATAGCTTTCAGAGAGGCAGAACATGTGATATCATGTGTTAGCTAATGTAAGAAGATGGTGCGAACCAGACGGAGTCAACGGCTGATGACTCATTGCCTAGGGTTTGCCCAGAAGTGAAACCGGCCAATGGAGAACTACCAACTCACTGTCTAGGGCCCGCCCAGGAGCTCCATTGGCCGGTTTCACTTCTGGGCAAACCCTAGGCAATGAGTCATCAGCCGTTGACTCCGTCNTCCGGTTGTGTATTTTCAAATTCTAGCGCACTCGAGCTGGTTTCTCCATTCTTACCTACCCCACCGTTAACTCTTTTTAGGGTGCAGCTATGTTTTATTTATTTCAAAGTGGGCACATTTTAATTATATATTTGTTTCCTTCAAATGGGCAGAGGACTCCCCAAGTGCTGTGTTTAATTTATGTTAAAGTAGGCCTGTGTATTATTTTTAATTCTCCTTATAGGAGTTCTTTGTTTCTTATTAGAGGTTAACAGTTTTATATAACGTAATACATAGCCTAATAAATGCAAAAAAAACTGTAGTTTTGTCTGATATAACAATAAATACAACTTTATTAGCTATCAAGCTATGAAATATGTTTTGCGGCTCCAGACAAAAAAAATTTGTTGGAAAAAGGAGCAAAATGGCTCTTTTGGTCAAAAAGGTCGCAGACCCCTGACCTAAAGCAACTATCAGCTAATTTACAGTAGTCTCCTACCCAATGTAAGTCAATGGGGAAAAGTGAACCCATACTGGTGGGCTGAAGGTCTTGTTATGGTTTCATGTTATCCTGATTGTTTTTGGTGTTTTGTCAGGTGGCACACGTGTTGGGAAGAAATACTTAGTATGATCAACGGTACAAACTTGTGCAAAATATATATACATTGAAAACTCCTCAGGTTTGGGGCTGACACATGTTGGTGAAGGGCAAGCTCACATTTAAAGGCAGGGTTCCTGAAAAAAAAGTGTGTGTGTGTGTGTGTGTGTGTGTGTGTGTGTGTGAGAGATAGAACTCCACTTAGCGTAGGGTGTCTTCCATTGTTTTTGGTGTTGCATAACCAGTCATGTAGTTGGGGTAGGGATTTATTCAAGCTGAAAAGTGTGGACTTTTAGAGGTGTGTGTGTGTTTGTTGCTGTTGGCATAGTTGAAAGATAAACTACACACAGGAAGTCAAGTTTGAATAGTTTGATTTGATGAAGTCTCTCTTGTCTAGAAAAAAATCCAGATGTGATTATGCTGCAGGTTATGTGTCCTGTTTAAGTGTTCAAATGGCTTCTTCCTCCGTCATTGACTATTTTCACTTGAGCTTCAACTAACAGAAAGACAGGCAATTTAACATGTACTTGCACAGCTCACTTACTAGCATAACTGCAAAGTATACTTTGCACAGCTGTCTGCCGGATGTAAATCTACCAAGGGTCAGCGTAGTCTATTTACATACAGCCTAGAATTTACGAGCTAGCGTGTAGTAGACATGGACAAAGCAGCTACAAATATGTGCTTAAAACTGGATTACAGGACCAGTTTTATTTAAAGAGGACATATTAGTGTGCCCCATAGGGCGATTGTGGCTGCAAGGGAGTGCGGTCGTCTTTCAACCAGAAGGTTGTGGGTTCCCAGCCCATGCAGTCAACATGTCGATGTATCCTTGGGCAATATACTTAACCCTGAGTTGCTCCCGATGGCATGGCCAACGGTGTGTGAATGTTAGGTCCTAGAGTAACATACACTGCTCTGTATGAATGGGTGTGAATGGGTGAATGACATGTAGTTGTAGTATGTAAAGCGCTATATAAGTACAGTCCATTTACCATTGACATGATGATGT